GTACTGGTAATTGATACGATACAGTGAGTTGATGTAGCCGATGGTGTGACTTCCACGTAAGATCTTATAGATTAGGCAGTTATATCATGACAAATCTACAATTTCAGGATTAGGTCTATTATTAGAGCAGTACTAATATCATAGTAGACCATAATTCTACACTCCCTTGCTATAAGGAGGTTCGTTTTACAGGATAGACCCTTTCTAAAACCATGTTGTGCCATGTTCAGCAAGTAATTGGTTTCCATAAATGCCGTTATGGTCCGTTTGATTATTCTTTCCAGTATTTTAATTACCACACTGGTGAGGCTTACGGGTCTATAATTCGATGGAACTTGTCGTGGACTTGTTTTATGTATGGAAGTGACGATTGCGTCCTTCCAGTCCATAGGTAACACACCTTGGTCAAGTGACATATTAAATATCACAGTCAGTGAGGCCGCGATATATTGGGCAATATGTCTCAAGATTTTGGGGTGTAGTTCATCTGGTCCTGTTGACCTCTTCATGGTTAGGGTGCTAAGAGCCTTAAGCACATCGTTTTGGTCGAATTCCACGGTGAGCAGCTGGTTTGTTGACTCTATATTTTGGTCTGGTTCTTTCTCTAGAGGAGGTTCCTGAGTGAAAACTGCCCCAAAATAGTCAGCCATAACCTCAGCTTTTTCCTGATCTTCCTCTATCATTTCAGATTCACTTCCTACTTTAATTAGGTTGGGAATCCAGTGATGAATCCTTGTTCTGTAGTTTATGTAGGAGAATATTCTCTTGGGCTGCTTGAGTGCAGATTGTGCCAGCTGCATTTCATATTTTCTTTGCGCTTTCCGAATTTTAGTTATACACTCGTTTCTTATCGATCTGTAGTGTTCCATCGTACCTGCTGTGCCAAGGCGGGTGGAAACATCCCAGCATTTCTTCTTTTGTCTTAGTAAGCGTCGAATATCCCGCTCTATCCAGGGATGTCCGTGTTTCTTTTTCCTTGGGACAGTTCAGGGTATGTATGGTTGAGTTACCCGATTGTATAACTGCCTGAATAGAGTCCATGCCTATTGTTCTGATGCCCTTGAGTCAATTTCCCAGTTCTCAGCCGATGCTGCGGAGTTAATTGCCTCTATATCTGCCTTCCATATGTTAGGACGGGCCGGCGCAATTGTTTGAGAAGCAATTTCAGCCATGAATTTGAATAAGATGACTGCATGGTCACTTCTCCCAAGTGGTGGGAGAAAAGCCGTTTGACCAACGTCATCACCGTGTGTGAAGACTAAATCTAAAAGAGAAGAGTTTCTTAAGTCGTATCTTGTGGGATCTCTAATGTGTTGGAATAATGCTAGTCCAATCGAGGTTTCTAACAGTTTGGAGTCGAACGACGATATGGATGACCCTACTTCTAAGTTAACCCAGTTTATATATGGTGCATTAAAGTCGCCTACTACAAGACTTTTACCGTTGTTACACCAGGACTTAAGTTTACTTAGGATAAAATCATCTGCTACACATTCTGGACTGCGATATATTACAGCTACTTCAATATCTTGCCTTCGGCATTTCAACTTACATCTCACCAGTTCACATGTCCCTGAACTACGTGCTACTGTCTCTACTAATCTTATAGTTAGGGAAATTCTTGTGTACAGAATAACCCCGCCTCCCCTACGGTTTAATCTATCAGCCCTACTGGTTATGAAACCAGTCAACTGGATTTCACTATCTAAAACTTCTGACGTTAACCAAGCAATAACATCCGGTTTTTCTTTATCCACCACTGACTTGAGCTCCGCCATTTTATTTAGTAGGCTGCGAGCATTTGTGTAGCATACCTTTAAGTCTGTGGAGAACTTTCCCTTGCCATCCAGAGTGGCTTGGGGATTGTTTCGCTCCGAACTTTTACAACTTGAAAACCCTTAAGAACAAGGTTTTGTTCCCCGTTTTGACGACGTTCATTTATTTCCGCTTCTGCAGCTCGTCTCTTAATACGATCAGCTAGACTGAGATCCTCACGGACATATATTCCGGATCTTATCAGTTTACGTGAATTACTTAGAATCAAGTTCCTTTCTTCCACCGTGTTGAATGTGACCTTTAGGCGGCGGTTTTTCGGAGAACTTTCGGAATCCACCTTTTTCCTATTCTATAAAGCTTACAAATACTGACTCCTGAAACTGTATCTGGGAGTAGTTTACTTATTGATGTCTTAATATGATTGAGATCGTGTTCAAATCTCGCCTTTGGTTCTTTATCTGAAGATTCTTTTATCTTATGAAAGATGACTGATCTCTCAGAGAGATCTGACTTGTCACGCAGTGAGGATTTTTCTTCTGATAACATCCCTTTCAATGCCTTGCTGACCAGCTGCGTTTTGCCTACAGTCTTTTTCTTCCCATTTCTTTTTCTCCTTACGAAAGTCCATTTGTCACCACTCAGGACAGCCACACATGGACTACGTGAAACGGTGACAGTTTTATCCGGATCTTCTGTTTCAACTGGAGGTGCATGACTGCAGAAGTCAATATCAAGCGGCACTTCATTCCTCGTTAATGTCAACGGAGATTTCACGTTCCCGTCAACCACAGTCAGATGTTTAACGGGTCCAGTAGCAGCACTTACTACACTGACACATTCTTCCCCGTCAGTGCTCTTATAATAATAATAATAATAATAATTATTATTTATTCTCAAATAACGGTTTGTATTATTATTTTTTTCAGGTATCATAGGGTCTTGAGTAGGCTTCGTATATTAGCGAATTGTCTAGTTTGCTTGTAATAGGATTACTGGGTAGAAAGTGAAACCAATGCAACGTTCGTAACACGATTTAAAGAGGTATTTTGCGTGATAGATCAGCTTCAATACCATAAGTTCGTGACATCCCACTTAACCATAAGGAGCCGTAATTAAACAAAATGTTCTGCCCTACAGACATGGGTGGATTGAATTTATCTCCCCACCATCATGTTTGCTGGTCAGTAACGCCACCCTCCCTCCTTTTGTGATGTTAGGCTCTCTTACGTTTATGGTAAGTATGAATACTACTTTAATCAAAGCCCATAGTTGGAATACACTGTTTCTACTATGTCCATGTTACAAGCAAATCAGATAGTTGAAAAGTCTTTTTTTGGGTTAGATGTCCATATCGTATATCACACTGCTATGAAAATAACTAAGGGTTTAAAGAAGTAAGGAATAATAGCAAATCAAAAGATATGAGAGGGTATAAAACTGTAGAAAGAAAAAAGAAAAGAAGATATCAGGGCAAGACAAATAAAACATTGAGAAACTCATAAGACTTTGTGGCCAAATTTTGAGCTTTGTATGATCGGCCTTAGTAGATCAGCATCCATAAGATTGAGCTATCTGTCTACTCGCAGTAGAAAAAAAAGCATGACTTTTAGAAAGAATAATGTACATTTAACCTGTAGAGATTTGGGAACTGAAAGCTAGGGTTAGGAACATAAGTTTATGAATAATAAACAATGAATAATAGGAAAGGATAAGCCATATATTCTGTGGTTTGTTTATATTCGTATTAGTAACAATCGAACTTGTTATAATCTTGTTCTTTCTAGATACTGGGCGGTCCGTAATAAAGTGCCTCATTGGTGGGCGGAAGTTCAAGGAAATGTTGAAGCTCTTTGGAGTCTAGAAATAGGGTTATTAGCTTCTTGAATCTGGTGAACGTATCACAGTTACGGATAGGCATTGGCAGCCTGTTTCACAATACACTATACCGTACTGTAAAAAACTTACAACGCATTTGTTTTTGGTGTTTTACGGTAAGTAGTGTATATGCGTTGTTTCTAAGTCTATAGGCTGGGTCGTGGGTGATAGTCGGGCATCGATTTTCTTGCAGGCCAAAGCCAATAGTCCCATAGCCTCCTGAATTAGTACCTTTTTATCCGTACAGCAGAACATACAAAGCCAATGCGAGTTAGGCTTCGAGCATCTTTTGTAAGCCGTCGGACTTAGGCGTGTACACATTTTGTGGTACCACTTTTTACAATCGTCATACTGCATTCCCCCACATTTGTGAGTCTTACCAACCATTGTAATTAGATTTAAAAGGTTTAAAAACACGCAATGATCACAATGTGAACACAAGTGTTAGTCAGGAGAAAAAAAAGTTACCCAGGACAAAATTAAGCAAAAAATTTCAAACTTTGACCAAAGTACTTTTAGTTAAAGTAGACCAAGAATGCTTTTTGGTGCAATAAGTACCCAAAGCAAGTTTAATCACAACAAGTACAAAAATTCAATAGCTTTCATTTCAACAGAAATGAAATGTTTCAATTTAGTAATAATATTAGTATTATTGATATCCAGTCATTCAATGGCTTTCATTTTAACAGCAATAAAATGTTTCAGTTTAGTAATAGTGGTAGTATTGAACGCAAACCATATAGATTCGCAGAGTTAACTTGTAATTTTTCTAGCATCCTAAATGTAAAACTAATAAGGTCAGTATCGAATGTCGATGACTTACAGAACTATTTATTTTGGGGATTTATTTGACGCTTCAGGTTAGTAGGCTTATATAAAAATTACTTATTGGCGAAAATACTACATGAAGCTAGGTGAAAACGAAATACTATGAAGCGTAACCATTAAATCATAAATACTTCGCGACGATGGCAATAGTTCATCAAAGCAACAGAGCAGAGAAACAAGTGTAGAGAACATTTGGGATGTAGAGCATCCACTAACAAGATTTATGCAAGCGACAAACGACCAGAGTCGCTTACAGCAATTGCAACTAGAATCGGCCACAGTTGTTTTTATATAAATGGCTTGACACATTACATTTTCCTCTAGAAACTCAACCCAAATCCTCTTATAAGTAGATTTAGTGTCGTGAAATCGTGGTTTTCTTATTAAGGACCCATTACATTTTTTTATCCTGAACACATGATTCTGTAAATGTCAAATGTCTGTTCAGCAGCAAATGTGTCAATTCATTTAATTAATTGTCAAACTGTAATAATGGACTAGCAATGAAATATAGTACAGATAATCGTTCGGGTAATTTAGATCCAGTAACTTAGCGTTTCAGTCAAGGCTCTCTGCTCTGCCTTCTTCGTTCATCAACCTTTGATCCTCGTTACCAGCAAAAATTTTATTTTCGGAGTAACTTGAAACGATAATCCACTGGCTCATGGCATAAAAAATAAGTTAATCTATAGTTTCTACTGCTCAAGGGGAAACACGGAATACAATGGACAACCTGGATGCAACTAGACGATTCGGACTTTGCAGATGTCCTAGCTCTTCTATTCCATACACACGCATAAATGCCGATGAAGACAACCAGTTTAGCAGCAGCCTCTGCAGCAATAGGCCTCAACATACACAAGGCAAAAAGCAGCATCCTCAAATACATCACACAAGACACCAACACAATCTCACTTGATGGAGGTGCTCTGGAAGAGGTGGAAATTATCACGTATCTGGGTAGCACCATCGATGAACAGAGAGGATTCGATGCAGGTGTGCAGGTGAGGATTGGCAAAGCAACAGCCGCACTCCTACAGTTGAAGAACATATGGAGCTCAAAACTACTGTCAACCAATATCAAAGTGAAAATCTTCAATACGAACGTAAAGACAGTTCTACTGTACGGAGCTGAAACTTCGGGAACTACCACAACCGTCATTAGGAAGGTACAGGTATTTATAAAGAACTGTCTTTGTAAGATACCGAATGTCCGTTGGTCGGATACCATCAGCAACGAACTACTGTGGTAGAGAACTAAGCAACTTCCAACTGAAGAGGGAATTAGGAAAAGACACTGGAGGTGGACAGAACATACATTGAGGAAATCATCCAGTTGAATCACGAGGAAAGCCCTGACTTAGAGTCATGAAGGTAAACGGAAAGTAATAGGAGGCAGACATCAAAAGAATAGATAGCAGCTGGAGACATCTGGTGGAGCTTGTCTAGGACATAGTTGAATGGAGTATGCTGGTCAGCAGCGCATTCTCGCACAAGAAGTAGCTGCACTAAGTAAGTAATTACCGTTCATTTGACATTTGTTCCTAAACAACGCGTAAAACACTGATTTATACAAAGTGTGCGTGTCTAGAATTATTAACTTATTGTTATTAAGTTGTCTTCTAGACCCAATCAAGTTTTGAAAAAATTCGATGAGGTTCAGTAGAGCGATTTATATTCGAGATGAAATTACGAGTCACCGATCGATCCGACATATACACTACCAAACGGGGAGCAAAGATGAATGGTGTCTGGCAGTCGAATCCAGATCGTGTGTTTCGTTCTATTTGGGACTCGTCAGTTGGGTGTAAGTGCATTCCAAAGTTGATAATCACTCTGAGACTCGGACTTACTACAATTCACTCCAAAAGCCATCACGTTATTCACTTCGCTACCGAGTCCTGAATTTCACTGCTATCTACCATCCATCTTTGCTTATAGTGCAAGGTTTGCTCGGAAGGCATTTTTGTCACAGTTAGTGTAAGACTTTAAATCGTAGGGCACGAGGACTCCTAAATCTTTTTCGACTTGAGATACTACTAGAGGGGAGTTACTTAAATTATAACTGTAGTCTGTGACATGTCGCAGATGGACTACTTTACACTTTGAAGTGTTAAAGGTAAATCCATTATCGTCTGCCCAAATTTGAAGTCGAGTCAGATTCTCCTGAAGTGCCTGTATAGCGTCTTCGCTGCTTATCTCTCTCCAAAGTTTCACGTCGTCAGCAAAAAATAATAAGTCTGACGCTACCTGTTGAGAAAGATCACTTATGTAGATCAAGAAGAGAAGAGGTCCTAATACTGAGCCCTGAGGGACCTCACTAGGACATTCCATAGCCTGAGATAAAGTGAAATTAACCCTGATCTTAAAATGTCGATTTTTCAGGTATGAAGTGAGCCAATCGATTAGAGGTGGTCTGATATCCAATCATTTGAGCTTATTGATAAGATATGTATGGTTAACCTTACCAAAAGCTTTTGAGAAATCTAGGTAGATGATATCAACCTTCCCCTGCGGTCGAGGATGCTTGTCCATCTGTCCACCGCAGTCAGCAGGTTGGTAATACAAGAGTAACCCTTCCTGAAACCATGCTGTTGGGGTGAGAAGAAATTTAAGGACAGTCAAAAGTCATTTATACCATCGCATATCAGGGACTCCATGATTTTTGAAGGTATTGAGAGAAGAGCCACCGGTCGGTAACTTGAAGGTTCGCTACGTCGAACTCCTTTGAAAATTGCTGTGGTATGAGCCAGCCTCCAATTTTCCGGTAGTTTTCCTCGACTTAGCGAGTTTGAGAACATCACGCTAAGCGGCGTAGCCAGGATTGAGGCTGCTTCCCTCAGTATGACGGGGTGGACCATGTCCGGGCCAGGAGAAGTGTCTAATCTTAAGTGAAGCAGTTTCCGGAACACCAAGTCAGCGGTCAGGTTCACTTCGGAAAGTCCTGTGGAATTGCAGATGAAACTTTCATCAGTAAAGTTTTAAATTCCGTTTAAAATTCCAACGCAAGTTAGTGGTGGGTTATCTAAGCTTAGTTTTGCTAACAAAACTGAAGGCTATGACGGCATGATCGCTTTTTCCCAGGGGAGCCAGGATTGAGAAGTGGTCAACTAGAAATTCTTCGTTTGTGAATACACAGTCTAAGCGCGATGGCGTCTGACTGTTTCTCCAACAAGTTGCCGACCTCACATTTTCGTACAGGCCCAAGTCATCGATGAGGTTGAAGAACCGATCTTCAGTTGAGTTGTCGCCTCCAGTGTACGTGTGTTCCGCGAAGTTGACTCTAAGGAGATTAAAGTCTCCTAGAATCAGGATGTGTGTGAAACCGAGACGGATAGAGCGGGATAGTCCTTCCAGCATACGACTATCGTACTCGATGTCGGCAGTTGGCTTCCTGTATATGACTTCGACTAGACACCTCGAAGTACTAGACAATCTTACAGAGCACCATATAGATTCCTCAAGATTGTTAAACTCGAGGTTATGAACTTGATGCACCTCTAAGCAAGAACGTATGTGAACAGCTACTCCGCCCCAAAATCCTGATTTTCTGTCATTTCGGAACAAAGACATACCAGGTAATGCTAACTCATGATCCGAAAACTGAGAAGATATCCAGGTTTCAGATATTCCTATCTGATGGGCCTTATTAGCGTTGCTAAGTTCACGTAGTTCATCCAATTTGTTTGGTAGACTCGTGGCGTTCATATATAAGCAATTTATGCTTTCAATTTGGAACGCGTGAGCTTCTTTCTGTTTGTCTGTATGAGCCTTAAGTGAATGGACAGGTAGCCCACCTATATGAGGTTTGCCGAGGTGGTAGGCCCTGTCCTTTACACGTTTTTTATCGTCTAGACAGTCCACAAGTGGAATGATCAGCTCGAACTTGCCTTTGTGTTTGGTTCTAGCTTCGTATGGCTTATCCGGGTGCATGTGGATTCCAGGTGGCAGTCGACGTCTGTTGGCACGAAATGCTTCCAGATTTGCAGCCGCCATATGGGAAGATGGGAAGGTTATCTTCATTAGACGGGGTCTAGAATCACCATCTTTCTTGGCTAGTCTTGTCAAATGCTGAGTCAGTATGTGTTTGAGCCTAAAGGACTGTTCGATGAATTTCCATTCCCTGATAACAGCCTTTGATCGAGTAGGGTCCGTATTTTCTGGTATACCTTGCACGATTATGTCGCTTCCGCGGAAAAACTGATCGCGAGGTTCTTTGGGGATGTTCCGGCTGAGATTGCTCTCAGAATACGGTATGTCAGGCAGTATTCTTACATTCCCATCTGATTTCAATAAATGACTCGCTAGTAAGACATCCTCTACGTCGGTAGCATTCTTAAGTGTTTACACGAAGTAGCCTCGGGTGATTTTTGTGCTTGGACTCCTTTCCCCGAGTGAGCCGTGTGGACTGTCAAATCTCTATTCTTGGAAGTTCAAGTTTCTTCTTCAGTTCTACCCGAGCATCCTATCATTTTTGTCCTGTAAACTGAAAGAAGTTCAGGGTTGTCTTTGAGTTCATGACTATGAGAG